AGCTACGACACGGGACCCACGGCCTAAAGTCCCTCCCGGAGGACTTGTTCCCTGAATTTTTCCGCCCTTAAAAATTCGATGACCTCCGCCGGGTATTTGAACCCGCGTACTACGAGTCATGAGGTGGGAACGTTACCTCTAGACTACGGAGGCCGCTGAGTGATTGAGTTAGTTTGAGGAACTGCTGAGGTTCAGTCATTGTGATCTGTTGCTGTGAGAAGCTGGTAGCTGTGGCCAAGGATAGTTCGGAAACCCAGAAGAAAAGGAATATCTGCCGTTGGAAGCCACTACCGAGCAACGGCTAGTGAACTGTGGACATTAGTGTGCATGTAACAGTGAAATGTAAAGTGCGTGAATTAGTGAAACGGTTAAAATTTATTGTGGTCACGGATCTGTAAGAGTTCAATAAATCCAATTACCAATCCAAACATTGTCTATAGGCACACTCCTTCACGTAACAATACATCACTTATGGAATTACAGAATATCACTCCTCTTTGTCACATTGCTACATTTTCTTTTCAAGTAACATGAGTGTGGACGTTGGCATGTAACTTCTGTGAAATGTGCCTGTTAAGTGTACACTGCATACTTTTACAATATTGCTGTTTTCCAATTTGCTGTCTTTGCTTCAATTCCAGATTTGGATAATCTTATACTTCTAAAATGGATCCCGCTTTGCCTTTATGGATCAGGCAACTTCATGCTGGTATCCACCTGAACATTCTTTTCCCACTTCTCCACAGTAATTTCTTACTTAAATTCACTCTATCCTGGGCCACCAGAATGCACTTACTGTATTTTATGTTCCTCCCATGTGATCCAAATATTAACCTAAAGTTCCTCTCACACAACACAGTTTTGTTTGCCTAACTATGTACGTCAAATTAAATATTTTAATCCTTCATGTGCCGAGTTATACGTGTAGTTCTGGCTAATTTACAACAAATCTTATCGAACCTGTCCCAAGGCTTATATTTATGTCTACAGCACAGAACATGTTAAATTCTCATTGCTAACATTTCCATTCTTCTTCTTTTTTTGCTACACTGCACCCATGTTCACTTCCTGCGTTTTTGATCCTAAGCAATACTTTATATAATTCCAAATACATGCTCCACACCATTTTTCAAAATGGCTGTAAATTATTTCACTTCTGAGTACAGACGTTTACCTTCTATTTTCCAAGAATCTCTTGTCATTGGGCTGATTAATGCCTTATGATTAAATTCCTAAACTGGTACTTAATTTATTGGTTAATTATTTTGCAGTCTACATCTTACCTCATACTAACTCATTATGTTACTTATAGCTATATAACACCTTCCACCCAAGTAAATGTTCACAAGTGAACACAACTGGGCAGGCAAGGCATATCAAAGAAGATAACTTCTACGAATTTTTCCGAACACTGGGAAATAAGATCATCACAGGGGGTGATTACAACTGCAAAAACACACTATGGGGCTCTCGCTTGACCACACCCAAAGGCAGAGAGCTGTCGAAAATAATACGAAACCAACAGTACTCATTCCTGTCAACCGGAACCCCTACCTACTGGCCTAGTGACCCAGATAAAATCCCAAATCTATTGGATTCTTATATTACAAGTGGCACCTCTACATCCTACATGGATATAGTCCCTAGTTATGACCTTTCATCGGACCACACACCCGTAATAGCTACTATTAGTACCGAAGTCGTCAATAAAAAAAACACTCCCAGGCTTCATTACAGAAGAACCAACAGGACTGATTATCGAATAAAAATAGAAGAAGCCATTAACTTACAAATCAGTCTTAAAGCCCTGAAGAACTAGCCACAGCCCTGACTAACTTCATTAACATTCTTACAGAAGCAGCTCTACACGCCACTCCAATTCCGGCTACACAAACAACAACAAGTATAAATATCCCCACTGAAATAAAAAAACTTATAGCAGATAAAAGAAGGGCTAGGAAGATATGGCAGCAAAGTCATGCCCCATCAGACAGAACTGCATATAACAGGGCCACCAATAAGTTAAGAGCGGAAATCAAGAAGTCCAGAGAGCTGACACTACACAATTACCTCAGAAACCTCAATCGCTACGACTCCATTTGGATACCAGTGAAGTCAACTACAAAACCTATAGTTCCTGTATCGTCTTTAAAAATCCAGATAGACGGTCGTCCAGAACGATGGGCTCATAGCGATAAAGAAAAAGCGGAACTCTTCGCAGCACACTTATCGAAAGTCTTTACGCCTAATGGCAGTCATCCTGATCAAGAGATAGAGGACGATGTCACCAAATTACTGCCAAATATTCAGACAATAAAAGTATTGAGCCCAAAAGAGATAAAAGAAGAAATTGGCTTCTTAAATATCAAAAAAGCACCTGGTATTGACAAAATCACCACCCAAAATGACGAAAGAGTTGCCAAAAAAAGGGATTGGTCATGCTAACATACATCTATAATGCTATGCTAGGACTTAGTATTTGGCCAAAACAATTAAAAACGGCAGAAATTATCCTGATACCAACATCATGAAAAAGACCCAAAAGAATTACCTTCGTATCGTCCAATAAGCTTACTGTACATAATAAACAAACTATTTGAGAAGCTTATACTTCGGAGACTAAATATGGACCTAAAGCCAGACGAATGGATGCCTCCACACCAATTCGGATTTAGGAATCATCACTCTACAATACAACAAACACACAGAATCAGCTATAAAATAAATCAAGCATTAGAAGACAAACAGTACTGCACGTCAATATTTATAGACGTAAGCCAAGCCTTTCATAAGGTTTGACATGATGGACTCCCATTCGAGATCAAAAAGGTGCTCCCTATAAAATACTTTAGAATACTCAAGTGATATCTATCTGACCGAGAATTCCGAACATGATTTAACTAGGAGGTATACAGCTACGTCACCATCCAATCTGGAGTCCCTCAAGGGAGCGTTTTAGACCCGATATTATACGTGCTATTCACAACAGATCTCCCAACGACTACTTACACTACAACAGGGACATTTGCTGATGATACGGTCATTCTTGCCAGCCATGATGATCCAGTAACTGCCTTGCAAAGACTACAAAGTCATGTAGACCAATTAGAAATTTGGCTAAAAAAGTGGCGAATCCACATTAATGAAACCAAATCTATACAGGTCACCTTCACAATGAGAAAAGAGCAGTGCCCAGCCGTACACATAAATAATACAGTCATCAACATTATAGTATCTTGGACTCCACCTGGATTTCAGGCTTACTTGAAAGCAGCATATAGCCAAAAAGAGAAAACAGGTAGAACTAAAAGTAAAAGACATACATTGGATCATTGGAAGTAAATCTAGCACATCGCTAGATAGTAAAGTACTTCTTTACAAGACAATCATAACACCTATTTGGACTTATGGAATCGAACTATGGGGATGCACCAGTAAATCGAACATAGCCATAAAGCAACGAAGGCAGTCCAAAATACTGCGGATGATCACAAACGCACCTTGGTATGTGACTAATCAGACCCTACATGACGATCTCAATGTACCGTTCATCAAAGAAGTCCTCCAAGAAAAAAGCACAGAACATCATGATAAACCAGGACACCACAGCAATACATTACTGCAGCCCCTACTGGAACAACAACAATGAAGAAGGCTAAAGAAATTATGGCCAACAGGTCTACTTGATGGTTGAAGAGGATCTCTCATTGGAGGAGCCTTCATCACGATACAATAAGCACACGAGGACGGTATTTAAATTAGCAAATTAGCTTAAAGAATGTATTTAATTCTGATTGCTAATAAATATATATATAAAACACTGAGCATTCAAGGCCATCTGCACATTAAATTAATTTGCATCCATAATAATATACTGCAGCCTTCATATGACGTGATGCTTAAATAATTTCACCAAATTTATGAAGAACAGCTACCATACAAAAACTTAGCACTTGACATAAACTATGTATGTTATAAAGATCTATAACTTTAATCTGAAACATATGAATTATAGTAAAAAGCAAAGCTATCCCTGTAACAGGCCGTGAAGGCCCATAGGGTTGTGAGACGTTGAGGGTCCCACATTATCTAGACAATCGGCTCAAAGATGGCGGTCAGGTTGTCAGCCTTACGCGCCGGCCGAGCTTTACTTCCTAGGAAAATTATTTAATTAATTCCTGGTACTCATTTCTGTTAGAGGCTGAGTTGACCTCAGGGCCATAGTGCGGCGGGAAGGATTAGGTCAACTGAAAAAAATCCAATGACCTCATCGGGACTTGAACCCGCGAGCTTCCGGCTTGTAGCATAGTGCCTCAACCAACTACGCTACCGCATGCCCCCATGAATTATATTACACATTTAATAAAATAAAAGAAAAATAATAAGTTAATATATTCTTCTTCCAAATATTATAAGTGCTTTCTTGGGTTTATTTAATGACACTGTATCCATACTGCTGATTACCTCCAAACAGTAGGTTTGCATTTGAATAAAAAGGATAGAAATTTGCAATAAATTTATGTAGCAGCACAGTGTACTTCAGTTTAAGAATATCTTTCGGCCCATTTTAACCCTTCCTTATATAAACCCCGTGGCTTTAGTCCGCAAGCGAACTACACCGACAGAGCGACCGCCGCTTGTCGGCGAAGTTAGTGCCAACTTTTGCGGTTAGAGGGTGTCGCGTGGTCGGCGCAACGAATCCCCACGGCCGTTAATTTCGGTTTCCTAGCCCGAAGCTACTACTCTTCCATTCAAGTAGCTCCTCAATTATCCTCACGAGACTGAGTGGACCCCGTTCCAGACCCACTATTTCTCAGAAAATCTGGTAGCGTCAGGGATCGAACCCAGGGTCTGTAGACAGGAACTACTTCCTTATATGTATAAAAAGTTTGAACCCATTACAAATCTCCCTTGTTACTGCCATTTGGGGTGACTGTTCCTAAACTGCATGACTGCTACATAAGCATGACTACAAGATTTAAATTCCCTTTCTTCCTCAGCCGCCTCACACAAGAATCTGGCAGTGGAGGAAGACAGTTACAGGAGCCATCCTGACGCAACAGTGGCGATCACAGGACTAACCTTTCAACAGCAGCAGCACAGAGACGAATTTAGCAGACAGGTGAATAAATCAGATTTTACATGGCTGCACAAGAATCAACGACTTTTACAATAAAGTTGAAAACTCCACACCACATACACTTCCACAAGATTCAGTCATATAATTCGTCCCACTGTCTAAATGTCTATCCGTCTGTCACCGTATCTAAATAAAAACATTAATATTGTATGATCACTAAGAACTTCAAAGCATTATAAGGTTAGACTGTGGTTTTCTGGGTTGTGACACCATGCAGTCTGGTAGATAGTGACTTAACAGAGTTTGAATTAATCTGCTGCCTCAGTATTTATGTTAGCAGTAAAGTCATAACTGAGAAGATGACTGCAAGTTAAACTAATATTAACTTGATTTGTTTCATACCGGTCCGTCACACTAATATTATGAAAAAGTTAAATAGTTCCGTTTAGTGTGACTGGTTATGATTTTCTTATTTCAATTATTCATGCCCTTACATGTTTCGGTCTTCAGAGGGACATCTTTTACACCAACAGTTAGAAACCACCATTACAGTACATGTTCTAAAAGTCAACACAGCGGGCCACAAACACATACAGGACAACATTAAAGAACTCTCTTCTCGAGAATGACAAGGGGGCACACATTCGGCCCACGCCAAAAGAAGTAATAAGAGGGACAACACGAACCAGCTAGGTTTACGAATTCCAATAGACTCTTAACAGACTAACTATAAATATGTTAAAGTATTGGAACAGTCGCTGTAGTTGTAAAGACTTTAGATTTTACAGCCAATTATATATTGTTTATATTGTATGTATATATTTTGACTTTTAGAACATGTACTGTAATGGTGGCTTCTAACTGTATTGATGTAAAGGTGTCCCCCTGAAGATGGAAACATGTAAGGGCATGAATAATTGAAATAAGAAAATCATAACCAGTCACACTGAACGGAACTATTTAACTTTTTCAAATTAATATTAGATCACACTTTACCATTTTTTTGTGATACCATAAACAGCATAATTCTTCAGGGCTCCCCATCTTGGTATAGTTTAACGCCCAAAATTCAGCTGTGTGATCTTATGAGGTGGAACAACAATTGCATCTTTTGATGTAATCATGAATTTTACTATGGTCACAGTTACTGGGAAATATTTTTGGAAAGTAACAGTAATTGCACAAAATGTTTTTGCTTAATGATGAATGATATGCAGAATTTTTATGCTAACATGTCAAAACACCATGTTAGGTGGGTCCCTCGTCACCACGGCATGGAGCATCCTCAGGTTGCGTATGGAAGAGGGAAGCTGCGAATATATTAAATAAGCAGTCACGGACAGCCGAAAAGAGGTGGTCCTCCAGATTGGGGGTTGGGCGTGACGCTAAAAACTTCTCACAATAAAAAAAAACTTGTTATGAAATTGTTCAAGAAGCCTCGGACTTGGATGGATTCTGTGGATAAACGACTTAAGCGAAAGAAAATGGATATGAGATTTGGTACTTGGAATGTTAGAACAATATATAGGGCAGGTTTGCTTAGGGCAGTGATGGAAGAAATCTCAAAATATGTTAGATTTAGTGGGAGTGCAGGAGGTCAGATGGGACGGAGGTGCCACCGAACCAGCAGGCGAATAAACATTTTTCTGTGGAATGGAGAATGAGAAATAAATTAAGTACAGGTTCTTTCGTACATAAGAGAATCATATCAGCAGTTAAGAGGGTACAGTTCATTAGTGATAGGATCTCAAACATAATACTAAGAGGTCGCTGGTGTGATATCAGCGTTCTGAATGTTCATGCCCCAACAGAAGATAAAACTGATGATATAAACGACAGGTTTTATGAAGAACTAGAACTTGTATGTGATAAATTTGAAAATTTATTTTAATTTTGAAAATGTGGCACAGTTGAGATATTTGGGAATGACGATAAATCAAAATCTGATTCAGGAGGAAACTGAACTCGGGTAATGCTTGCTACCATTCAGACCAGAACCTGTTGTCTTCTCGTCTGCTGTCCAAAAATATAAACATTAGAATATACAAAATTATAATTTTCCTGTGGTTCTGCATGGGTGTGAAACTTGGTCTCTGACATTAAGGGAGGAATATGGACTGAGGGTGTTTGAGAACAGGGTATTGACGAGAATATTGACAGGACGTTGGAGATATCTGCATAATGAGGAGCTTCAGAACTTGTAATCTTCTCCAAGTATGATTAGAATGATCAAGTCAAGGCAGATCAGATGGACAGGGTATGTAGCACGAAGGGGGAGAAGAGGAATGCATATAGGATATTGGTGGGAAAGCCAGATGGGAAGAGACCACTGGGAAGATCAAAACGTAGGTGGGTGGACAATATTAAAATTGATCTTAGAGTGATAGGATGGGATGGTAACATAACAGAGTTCAGCTGATATGGGTGCCAGGACATGGGGGTATTGCTGGGAATGAAACCGCAGATCAGCTGGCAAGAACAGGATCTGAACAACCATTCATAGGACCTGAACAGCTTGCGGCATCTCAATTGGAGTTGCCAAGAAAATAATCAGGGACTGGTGGTTACTATAGGATTCTGACGATGGTGTATATCACATAGAGATATTGGGTACGTCCAGTGATTGAGGCTAGCTCTTTCTAAGGGACCCAACAGAACAGGTGTTTTCCCTCACCTGAGGACAGAAATAGATCCAGTTTCCGAAACGTTGTGTTATCTTAAAACCAGGACGATGGATAAAGTCCGAAAACCCAGTATCTCTACAAGATCAGGGACTGGACCAACAGAAATCACAAAAAACACTGGAAATCCACAACTGGACTCAAACAGGCAAAAGGATTTATATCAGGACCCTCTGCCAAAAGAACGAGGGACCCGTTAAAATTAAACAGAGATCAATTAAGATGGGTGGTAGGATTACTTACTGGACACTGCCACTTAAAAGGGCACCTTTGCAAACTGGGGCTGACAGACGACCCAACTTGTGAAAGATGTTATATTTCAGCGTCCTGTTACACTGATTCATGTCCATGGTTTATGCTGACCGTCTTACACACAGATCCAGCAGTACAACGCATGCAGTAACAGGAGCAAAACACAACAAAGAACATCATACACAAATATATGTAGGAAGAACGCTCACATAAAAGAGGACTGGCGTAATTTGCGTGTTTGAGTGCGACATAGGAAGAATCCTGAAAAGTTTTATTATTTAGAATTCATCGTCCTATATGACGAATACAGATTTTAGTCATTTTAGAATGAAGACATTATGGCATGCAGTACAATAGTTTAACATGCATAAAGACACCTGAGGATGGCACATTAGTGCTGAAACATGTGGTGCGGAAGTGAAGAATAAGGAGAAAAAGTGTATACACTGTAAGATGGTCAGCATAAACCATGGACATTGTGAAAGGTGCCTTCAAGAACATGAATCAGCCACACACATCTTGTGTGATTGTGAGGCTGTAGCTTACCCAAGATATCGCCACCTGGGTGAATTCTTCATGGAACCAAGTGACTTTTATGATGTCCCCATAAATAAAGTCCTACATTTAATTTGAAGTGTAGGATTAATATAGGGTTAATCCAAAGGGGAAGCACAACAGATAATTGAAGGTTACAGTGGGAGGGCCAGTTTCTATGGCTCACCCCTCATACTCATAGGATGGTATGGATTGGATTGATCTGGCTCAGGATAGGGACCAGTGGAGGGCTCTTGTGAACATGGCAATGAACCTTCGGTTTACTTAAAATGCTGGGAAGTTCTTGAGCAGCTGCACAATTGGCGGCTTTTCAAGAAGGGCTCAGCTCCATGAGAGAGATAGTATGTTAAAAGAACGTCTAACAGCAGTGATAATGGTATTAAGATTTACAAACTTAAATCCTTTGGGTTGGAACACCACACTCAAGGATGAATACTTTTAACAGTTGTCTTCTACCACCTTCTAAGGATAAAGATCATATACCAGCACAATCATATTAAGACTTACGGGGGTTTAGTAGCTAGGAGGACAAACAACCAGACAGTTTCTCAAAAACTATCCTAGTTTGCTCAGGGAGGCCTAAAATGTCACCATACCAAATTTTATTGAGATCCATTTAGTAACACCTGAGTTGACAGAGAGAGATAACAAAACAAAACTGTGCTTTCTGCACCTTCTGGTTTCAAATGAACCTAAAATAGTGATAAACTTTTAAATGAAGTGTTATTTGGCCAATTTTTAGGTCAGGTAATGGTTTAAACTCCAACTAAATTAATCAACAAATTATTCACAATTAATGTTTACTGATGAAGACATCATAAAACGGACAATTAAAGAATAACTAATTCTTAAAGCTAACACAAACCACAATTACTATGAAACTCACAAACAAAATCTGCAATAATATAAAAAATCATCCATGCATGCCAAGTGCAGTATTATTTTAGCAGCTGGTATGTCATGTACAGTGTGTGTTCATTTGTCTCACTGTTACAGAATTAATATTTTTTGATCTGGTATTATTGTATAGCAGCGATTTCTTATTTGTTTGTTTGGTTGGTTGTCCCCTTTTCTTTCTAAGATCCCAGGAACTGTGACTATAATGCCTAACGTACGCTCTTTACAGACTGTTTATAATGGCAGAAGGGGGTCTTCAATTTTAAATCCAGAATGAATATAATGAATAAATCCTTGGAACTGCTACCAACTACTGCATTTTAATAAGAAATCCAATTAAATAAGAAATTAAACAAGCATGAATATTGTGGTCTTCTGGGTTATGACATCACGTAATTGTTGGTTACCATTATTTTGGAGGAACCTGCTACCTCCATCTTCATTTGTAACTTGAAGAAGAAAGTAAAAGATTTTTCCACAACACTGGTGAACACCAAAAAGTACATGGTGGCATAGTGGAGAAAACAAGAACCTTAAATATGCACTGCCATAAAAACCTCAAACTTCATCACCTTAAATGTTCTTTCCCTTTTCTTCTACAGCACTACACAAGATTAGTCACTGGTGACATCTGCACAAGTCATTCTGTCATTCCTTTTCCATGTCTACAAGAAAAGTTGTGTCTGTATTTAAGCTGATAAGAGCCTTCTTTCATCAGTTCTCTTTATGTTCACACTTTGCTACTACGTGATGTTAGTCTAGCAAGTGTTTTAAAAATTGGATTGTCATTTAACTTGAAACATGTAGAAGTTCTTAAATGTGAACTATCATACCAGTATTCTAACACAGATGTACACATTTTACATTCAATTAGTTTTCTCCTTCATATACGATAGAGGTATAGGAGCCAGGATAGCTCCATCAGCATAGCAGTGGGTTATAGGATGGCTGGGGGTTCAATGCCTAGCAGATGCAAGAGATTTTTCTCTTCTGCACAATTTCCAGACTAGTCGTGGGTCCATTCAGCCTCCTATCTGATGGGTGCTAGGGAATCCATCCCTGCAGGTAAAGTGGCAGAGATGCGAATCTGACCACTCACCATCATCTAGTGCCAAGATCAAGATTGGTGCTGTACCTTCACTTACCCACATGTATTCGTGGTGCTGTGTTTAATTAATTAAGCACATGAAGAACTATACCTTTTTACCTTTTATGCCACAGAGGTATTAACCTGTTGGATCTGAGGTTCCCAATGCGGTGGCTTTCAAGACATCTACCTTCTGGGACACAATGCCATGTAGTGTGGTGAAAGTCGATCAAACATTTTGGGGGAATATATTACCTCCAAAGCACTGGGTGCCTTTCATCCAATTACATGGCACTACATCCCAGAAGACAGAATTCTTCAAGTATTAACTTCTTGCAACATTTTGTTACCAAAAGTTCTACTTTTCTTTCTTTTCTTCCTCCCTAAAATTAATTTAGTATTTTCACTTCACAGAAGTGTCCTAGTTTTAAAATGGGTGAATAGGCAAGGTTGTGATTAGTGCACAGTTAGGAAGGTTTTATAACTGCATAAAATTTATTCTCTTTCAATCTTGTACCATTATCATCATACCACAAGCATTTCGGGATTCCTCCTGTTGATATGTATGCGAGCGTAATATGGACTGACAAAACCTTTCCTTTCTCAACAGGACCCTTCAGTGTCTGCCCACTCAGAGGAAGAGCTCCAGCAAGACAATGGAACAGGCATCAGTTCTGTGGCCCGCACACGAAGAGAAACTAAGAATGCATCTGAGATGACACAACCAAAACCTGAGGCAGATTATGATGAAAGTGACACGTACCTTGAATCAGAAGACAAGTCCAGCAGCAACCCAGAAGAGTATAAGGAAGCAGTGCCTACACACAATAGAAAGGAAGAGGATGCAGTCAGCATGGGTCAGCACTTTTTCTCCTCATTTGCTCCAGTCTTTCCAGCACCTTCCGCCCTTGGTCGCTCCCGTCCCTCAATCTTCCAGGAACCAGCATATAGTCAGCGGCCAGCATTGCTGAGACCTCAACAAAATACTTTCCAACCCATCAATTTTGGTGGAGGGTCATTTCGGGACAACCAACATCTACACACAGAAGCTGCTGCTGAAACTAGTACCAGTGACCTTCTTGGTTCTGGTAACTTTGGAGTAATCCGGGGTGGGACTTTCTACGGTGATGATGACCAGAAAGAAACCAATGTCTATGGAGCAAGGGGAAATCACCAGTTCTTCAGTCCCTACTATCACAGCAACAATGGACATGGAAGACCAGCATTCTATGGTGGAGGAGGATCTCCTAATCCAAGACCACAGAATCATCGTGGTAATGACTTCTTCGCAAACTTCCGTGATTTTGCTGATATTAACACTCCCACAAAGTCTTCATTCTCAGAGTATGTTGTTGTTTATGTGAATAAGAATAATAGCAAACATGATGATGGAAGTGATCAGCAGGGCTCAAAACCAGGAGACTCAAAGCCCAAAAACATCATCGAGCGACTTACAATGCTGGATAACGAAGACCAAGAGAAACTCACAGCACCTGAAGAGGAGGAACCTGTGACACCACCCTCTAACACACAGCAAGTAAAAGCAGAGAAGAAAGGTTCAAGCACACTGTCACCTGCTAAACTGAAACTTGCCTTATTTCAAGATAAATTTAATAAGGAAAAGATTAAGAAGGTAAAGACCACATCTTCAGCATCAGACCCAAAAGATCTGTATGAACCCCTCTTAGCTCTAAGTTGAAGGATATTTACATTAAGACATGTGTTCTTTTAAGAGCCTCTACATCTCCTGCCTGTATTCCAAAATGATACTCCTTCACAAACAGTTTTCTGTGACTGAAATTTTTAAAATTCTGTGAGGAGTCAATGAAAACTATTTTTAAATGGCAGATGATCATGAAATGTTGATGTAGGACTTAGAAATGTGCAATCTTGCCAAGACTGTACCTGAAGATAATTTAGGCTGCCACAAACAGGTTTATGTAGAGTTAGCTCATTCAGCATTCAGTGCATAGAGAATGCTGCAAAATATAATGCAGTTTGGAAATTTGGAACATGAACTGTGGAAACATACAAAGGAGATACGTTGTTTTGAGGTCAAATGGGTATGTAATGAAAATCTATGAATTTTACTCAAAGTGCCAGCATTGTAAAGTTGATTCATATCATTCAAACATGGTGGTTTAAATGAGCAATTTAAACTAGGAAATATTTTCTTTACATATCATGAAACACTCAACATGGTTTCAAGGATGTGACAGTTCTGCTGATGTTCCCATCGAAAATTGTGATTCAGCACAAAAGTAAGGCTTAGTTCAACTAATTCCTAGTTTATTCTCACTGGTTCTAAAACTTTAAATCATGCAATGGAGATATAATGAGGCTATCTATACTCAGGAATTAAACATTTTGAACTAAAATGTAGCATGCTAACAGAAGAGAAACAACATAAATTTAACAGACAAATACAAATTTCTAGAATGTTAGTTCCTATTTCCCAACATGACTTCCATTTCAGGATCACAGACAATGCTGTATCACCTCAACTGTTACAAAATACTGATAACAATTTATACTCTATACTTTGTACTACACAGTACATCAGCATTCACTCTTCAAATTGATTTCTCAAAACACAAATTTTTTCAAAATATTGCTGGCAATATTATGTTTCTTATGGAATCATAATTTGGAAACAAAAGAGCTTTTGAGATGTGCTGCCACATAGTCTGGTATGTTTTGGAGCAATGTCAGTAAATTACTACCAGACTACAAGGCATCACACCCCCCAAGATAGTACTCTCCATAGTCACCACTGTGTGGATCTCAAATCTCATAAGAAAAAAGTCTGATTAGATATACAGGAATATTAATTTCTGTTAATCTGTAACATATTTCTACAATACGAACTATATAACATGTGGACATGCATAGACTCTTCAAGTTCTTAATCTTTATGGCAATATACTGTTACCACACAAATTAGCACAGAAGACAATAAAATTTTTAAGCCATTTATTTATAATTCACAAATTAAAAAAAAACAATATATGCACTACCTAAATTCAAACACACTGTTAATCTTAAAAAATCGATGGACCTGCAAGCATATATCACAAAGGTATAAAAATATTAGAAATTAATGTATACAGAGCATATAAAATATTATCAGGAAAACCCAGCCTTTTCACAGGTAAGTTATTTATGTATTTTTGTCTTGGGTGACCTGAAAGAGTCTGGCACTGAGGACCAGACCCAGCTAAATAACCACAGGAGTGATGTATCCTAAGTAGTAAGAAGTTTAATGTGTATAGTTTCCTATTAACCAACATTCAAACTTGCCTATATTTTTAAATTTATGATCTACCCAAAGAACCCTACTGCAACTAGCAGATCATTACTGGAAGGCTGGGAATCCTATTTTTCTTGCATTATACAAATACCCTAATCCATAAAAGCATTGTTACCAAACACTAATGACATTCAGTCTTACACTCCCTTTCCATTATTAATTAGAAATGCAAAACATCCTTCTGTCTCCAGTGTTGTAAGGCTGAGTGTAATTGTTGTATTATTATTGTTGACTTTTGTAGATAAGATGATGAATAAAATAAAAGACATTCTACTCAGATCAAAGTTTTGCAATGATTGCCCAAAGACATAATCCAACACTCTTCAAGAGTCTATAACACTCAGAAAATTGTTTAATATTATGACACTTCAGAACGATATAAAAATATCAACTTCCACTACATTTCATGATCACACAACCCATACACACTCACCAGAAGCTTGGCTTAACCTTATAAGTAGTTTGGGAGAGGACGTGGGGATATTCATATGGGTGTGGCAATACTCACATACAATGTGCCCCTGCATTACAGATATTTCAGTTATAAAACTTCACTCTTATGGAAATTATACAATATGACTACAAAAATCTGGGATATTTCTTTTTGAACACAAAATGCAAAAGAATAACAAATTCAGCTAAAAGTGCTTTTTTTTTGTGAAATGAATATTTAAGAAATTCAGATTGCATATGCACATTCTTCAGTGATGCAGCTGAATATGTAAAAGGGCACCGGTAAGCCTACGGACATGCATCCGTAATGCAGGGAGAATGCCTGGCAGTGTGGCTGCTATTCCTGTCTTATTTTAGAGACTGTACAGTGCATTACTCTTACTTAATAACTCTGGAATGAGGTCACCACATTCAAGTACCATACCTAAAAGAGCACACAAAAGAATGACATCTGATATAACAATTGACATATTACAAGAAGTCTGATACTGGAGAAAAACCTTGGCCTATTGTCACCAAAAACTCACCAATGCCTCAAAATTTCTGGCAAGTGAAGTTCAAATTAAAAAAAAAAAGGGCTATTTTCTCTGTACCCATCATTATTTTGATAAATGAAAAAATATGTTTTTATTACCACTATGGAGAGAAAATATCCATAGGAACAACTCTGCGCATATAACATGAAAGTCTATGGAAAAACAGGATTTATGTTAATGGAATTTCACAAGCAGACATATTTCAGGATAAGAACATTTTCAAGAACATATCACTCCCATAATGTGAGGGCATACTGAATTGAAAATGTGTTTATATACTAAATAACTCAGTCTGAAAATGAACTGTGTCATCAACAAATATTCAGAGAAGTGGAAAGATTTTCTCCATTTCACAGTACATTTCTTTGTAATTTGATATCTCTTTGCAGGAAATTCTGATGTTCATTCACCACAATACATATCTAATTAACAGGGTATATATACTACATTCTTTCATGAGTTAGTTAACAATGCCTTCAACACAAAGACTATATAGCATCAGATTATGGACAAATTATGGTTTTTAAATGATTTTGAAGGAAGCACAAAATGGCCTATTCAACATACTATCCCCAAATATGCCTGGAGGGACCAAGGAAAATAATGAAAAAACTCGGTCAGGACACAAACTGCATTTTCTTATGACAAACATTTCTATTATACTGCTGATATACATGCGTATTCTTTCTGCACTGAAATTTATTGTTGCAGAGAGAACCTATTTTCATGTTGTTTTAAGCTGTTAACCATACAGATCAAAATTAAGTTCAACTCATAACACAGACATGACCTCTCCCTTATGAACTCACTTAGGAACAGAGTGCTACAATCCCATAAAAATGTACCCCACTGTACTCATGTACTATCCATATTTTGAATTATAACTGCTGCACAGTTCAGTGAAAATCACTCCAGTGCAGAACATTACATAACATCTACTTGACGAGTTCTACCAACTTCTTGATCATATTTCCAATGCCATGGTAAACTTCATGGAACCGGCCTTCATACATGAATGCAGGAGTTGTCACAACAAGATTCTTATCATCAAATGCAATCTCATTCACATCCTGCAATTCAAAATAAGTATGAAATTCTAATATGAATAATTAATTTTCAAACTGAATGACAATCCTGGTTTGCAAATCTGAATAAACAGAAATATAATGCATTCTATATCCAACTCAATTCTCAATGATAAATATTTCAACTCCGTGATGTGTTAGGTTTCTTGCCATCTAGCTGACACTAGGGGAATAAGATCTTTTCAGATATTTACATTTCAATAAGCATAATCAAATTTAGCTTACAAAATTAAATGTACTTAATCATACAAGCTATCTTCATGTGACTCCAAAGTGACAATGGTTTCACAAACTTTTCAGTAACATAACTAACTCCAGGGAGCTGAATGCTTCCTGAGAAGTCATTATTTGTGCATCTATTTTAAGAACTTTCCAACATTTTATGGTTCCCAAATGTTGAGTACAATGTTCACAAGAGCCTGCCACCGGTCCATATCCTGAGCCAGAGTGATCCAGTCCACACCACACAATCCTATCTCTCTAAGATCCATTTTACTATTATGCGCCCAACTACATCTGGGTCTTACTGGTGTTCTCCCTCCTTCTGGTTTTCACACCAATATCCTATAGGCTTCTTCTTCTCCCCCATTCGTGCTACATGCCATGCATATCTCATTCTCCTTGACTATATCATTCTAATTATACCTACCAAAGAGTACAAGTTATGAACCTAATTATGTAGTTTTCTCCAACTCCTGTCACTTCATCCCTCTTTGTTCCAAATATTCTCCTCAGCACCCTGTTCTCAAACACCTTCAGTGTATGTTCCTCCTTTAATGCCAGAGGCCAAGTTTCACACTCACATAGAAACCACAGGTAAAACTATAGTTCTGTATATTCTAATTCTTTCGTTTATATACAGCAGGTTCTGGACTGAATGGTAGCAAGCATTACCTGATTTCAGTTTCCTCTTAATTTCCTCCTGAATCATATTTTGATCTATTACTATCATTCACAAATATCTGAACTGTGCCACATTTTCAAAGCATCTGTTGACTATCTTATGCCATGATTTTTCTCTGCATTTTGCTGATGAGACAACTACATGGTCTGACAATAAAGTTTGCGAACTCACCGCAGTAAACATGCTACATACCACACTGCTGAATATCATGGTAGTCACCTTTACAGTACGCCCTTTGTGAAGCTATGCACTGATACCAGCGCCTAGTCCACCCTTCAAAACAATTTTGGAACTGGTTTTGTGGAATGGCCTTCAGAGCTGCTGTCATATTACTCCTAATGTCATCAATATCAACAAAATGACTTCCTTTCAATATTTCCTTTATCTTTGGGAACAGAAAAATGTCATTGGAAGCTATATCCGGTGCGAGGGTGTTTCAGCACAATTATTTGTTTACTAGCTAAAAACTCCCTCACAGACAGTGCTCTAATTTAAGCTCCGACATTCTCGTGATGGCACACCAAATCATACTCAGACAATAACAGACGCCACTCAGAAAGAGACTGCCATACCTCAGCAACACCTGTGAAACACTGATATGCCAACGTCATCAAACCATACTGAGGTATCTGTCCGCTGTTTTCACGAACTTTATTGTCAGACCTAGTATACTTAGTTTTCTCTGCATTTACTTCTACACCAGCTTCCTTACTAGCGTCACTTAAATTTTCTGTGTTCTTCTTTATGGTATCTGCATTATCTCCCAGTAGATTCACATTATCAGCATAGACCAACAGCTGATGTATCCCATTTAATTTCAGTCCCACATGGTTTTCCTGAATCTTCCTAATGGCATATTCTAAAGCAAAGTTGAAAAGGAGTGGCGATAAAGTATCTCCTTGTTTTAGACCATTTTGTATAGGAAAATTATCAGACAAATGTTTAACAATATGGAATTCACAGTACGTTTCATTTAACACATTTTAATAAACCTAACTAGTTTCATGGGTACCTCAAACTCTATGAGAATAATGTACATTGCTTCCAGCCTAACTGAATCATAGGCTTTCTTGAAGTTTAGTTATAGCTGATGTACTGACTTGTTGCACTCCTATTTTTCTTCAGTATCTGATGAATGCAAAAAATTTTATCAGTAACTTTCATTTTGTGCATCCTGTTGTGTTACTATATATAATTTTTTATTGGAGTCCATCGTAAGACAACAACATAATGGTCAAGGTTAAAATTACCTTAGCTACATGTTTCGGCTTTTAAATCCATCATCAGGCAAAACACACGATTACTATAGTCACACACTATTGAACTGCAATTTCATTGTGACAGTAAAGTTGGATATTTGATAACTGTTACATTATAAAATATATGGAATAAAAATACAATGAACTATAAACTTATTATAAAACAACAGTTATGGAGTAAAATATGGTTAAAAACTCTTCGTGTGATATTGCATACATCAAGTCAGTTGTTGCAATTTTGTTATATTCCCACGGACATAATGGTATATTCAAACTTATATACATACAGTAAACTGCTTGGAGGCCCGTGGTATAGATGTAGTATTACTTGACATTAATTTTGATTACTACATTGTAAGATGAGGCACCAGCCAAACAACTGCAATCTGTATTCCCAACAGAACGGACAAATACATTGTAAGACGAGACACCGGCCAAAGAATTAATGTCAACATCTTAAGAATATACATATGAACATCAAGTTCAGGATGGAAATAGTAAAAAATGTCTTGGTATGATTTCTGGATGTTGAGGTGACCAGTGAACCAAATGGATCACTGGAACATTCAGTATACAGAAAACCCACCCATACAGACCTTCATGCTATGTCACACTCTCATCCATCAGAAAACTTGCAGTGTTGACTACACTCATTAACCATGCACAGAGAATGTCAGAATGAGAAAATCTGGCATTTAAGAGAGACAAACAAAACAGATACAATTCTGCAGCCTTCAGTACAGCCATGCATCAGAAATGTAGGAGAACAATAAAAAAGATTGACCATCTGCAGTGGCCACATCAAACAAGAGCAGCAGGTTACTGAGAAAAATTATCATACAGACAGTCCACATCCCAGCCAAGAATTATCAATGTTACGACCAGCACGAGATGACTTTTGACTGAAAGTCTTAAGGGTCTACAGTATTCCATGTAGATGGGAAAGAATATATATGACAGACAGGTCGATTCATTAAAACAAGGAGTACGAAAATGAGCAGTATCTACATTCACTTTAGAGGGACAAGTCCACAGTGGCAGAAATCAGCACTGAATCAAATCCCAGGAGACCAAGGTAATAACCAAAACTTCAGACCACATGGATCAACTTGTCAAAGGGGCAACAGAAGTAAGATTATGCCTTAATAATAGAGGGGAAGGGTTCAAACTTAGCAAAACATGGGGTCTCACCACCAGATTATTAAGGCTCTCTGATGCACACAAATTACAAAACATCTAAGGGAACAAAANTCAAGTACAAACAGATAACAGTCACAGCTGACTGTCCACAGTGCGTGGACCTGCAAGAAGACCACACTTTTCTCGGGCCATTATCTCCGTAACCGTTCAACTTTGGACATAGGTGTTTTGGGTTATATCGGCATACTTTAACATAAGGAACACCCTCCCGAAGTTTGGCACATTCCTCCTGGGACACCCTGTATATATATTGGAAGGTTGTGGGTTCAAGTCCCGATGAGGAGGATTTTTCAATTTACCTAATCCTTCCAGCCGCACTATGGCCCTGGGGTTGACTCAGCTGCTAACAGAAATGAGTACCAGGTACCTTCCTAGGGGGTAAAGGGCGGCCAATGCGTAAGGCTGACAACTTTACCGTCATCTGTGAGCCAAGTGTCTAGAAAATGTGGGGGCCTCGACATCTCACAACCCTATGGAGCTTCACGGCCTGTTACAGGGATAGCTTTACCTCTCTATACATACACAGCAGAAGCAGCAATGTATGATCATCTACATCAATCCTGATGATGGAGATGGAAAAGATCTCTGAAACAGTGGTTTTGATTGAATAATGAGAAAATATGAGTGCATTATGGTAGCTTCACATCTTACTTAGGTGTAACTAACTTGAGTATTTATTTTGAAGAGTTCTATCACCTGGGATATACCACAGGGAAGTCTGCTGGAAGTCAACTGGTCCTGAAGATGAAGAAAACATTTTCCTCTGAAACATCAGTTGAATTTCAACAAACTATATGGCATTACGTGCATATCCCAGAAGACAGAACTGTTCATAATCACTACTGTGAACCTCAAATCCTATATGCTGAAACTGCCCATACAATACTGGATCGTGCGGTTATTTAGCCTCAGGTAAAGTAACCCCAAAACTCTCAGGTTAGTGTTTTATGATGAATGTCAAATCACTGATGTTATTTTAACAAGATAAAAAGATATACTAGTACTGAAGAAAGTGTTTACCCTATTATATAGGTACGAAGGCAAATCGAAAAGTCTTTATCCCTATTTTTTTTTAGCCAAAATAGTAGTGTGATTGAGTAACCAGATTATACATTCGATGCTTGGTATGCTTGGACCAGCCCAGCATTAACTCTTGGCTGCTCCACGGCACTGCTCCGCTGTCAGCTGGCGAAGATGGCTGGTGTGCTCAACATGTCCATTTCACTCCAGAATACAAGCAGCAGAGCATGGTGTGGAAACATCCCAGTTCGCCTGTCATGAAGAAATTCCGCAGAATGCCATCCATCGGAAAGTTGATGGTCACGGTCTTCTGGGATCGCCGAGGACCACTCCTGCTGGATTTCAGGCCACAAGGTGCTACCATCAACGCGGGCAGCTATTGTGGCACACTTGCATGTCCGAGCTGCCATCTGGAAAATGTGCCCGGGGATTCTCGTGGATGATGTGGTTCTCCTCCATGACCACACCAGGCCTCATGTGGCAAACAGGACCACCGCCTGACTGCAGTCATTCGAATGGGAGATTATGGAACATGCACTGTATAGTCCAGACCTCGCCCCCAGTGATTACCACGTTTGGTCCACTGAAGAAGTTCCTGGCAGGCCAGAGGTTCATTTCCGATGACAACGTGAAAACCGCTGTCTGGCAGTGGTTCCGCACTCAACCAGCCAAATTCTACAACAGCAGCACCTCCAAACTAGTGGTGTGATGGGACAAATGCCTGAACTGGGGTGGTGTCTATGTGGAAAAATAGTCAAAGGTACTTAGAACACTGCCTGTATTTTGTATTATTGTGGCTGAAAAAAATAGGAGCAAAGACTTTTCGATTTGCCCTTGTACATCACAAGAGAACTTCTTTTAACTAAAACACCTGCACTCAAGTGGCACTGATTCATTGGCTGGAGTCACATGACACTTCATTTCTTCACTGCAACTGAGAAATTCAGTCACAGTCCACAGCAAATAGAAAGAAGAGTACCTGGCTGAACTATCATATTCTGAGTTGTTCCATACACCTCCTTCCTCTAAATTTTAATTCTAATGCCTTTCAAGCATGTTTGTTCTATTCATTATTCTTACATGGTCAAATCATTGTTGCCACTTCTCTTACAAATCTATTAACAAAATTTGGATTCCAGCTTTCCTAAAAATGTATTACTTTAGATATAAAATGCAAGTGATTTTTATTATTATTAAAATGGCTGAAGATTATCATGAAAAAGAAGTAACAAATGAAGGTGTAAAAGAGAAAGCCTTCCAGGGTAACAGAATTTGAAACAATGACACTGTTCTTAGATTTAACTCACGTCTTATGTTTGATTATTTTGTAGTTATTTCATTTTCAGTTCAGATGACAATACTAATTTTGAGAAAATAAAAGTCATGATTTATTTATACACTCAATTATAATCAAGAAGGATGCCGCCGCTGCCGCCACCACCACCATAACCAACATTCGCACCCCAATACTTACTGTCACTGCAAGACCTCTATATATCAGTCAGCTTCATCACATTTGTTTAAGATGGCAATTGCAATGGATGCTGAAATATTGGAAGAGCTTCAACATATGAAACAGCAATATCCCAAAAGCTAATGTTATACATCTTTCTTCTAACATGATATGAGAAGGCCTTATGAGATGCAGAAGAGAAACATACTTCAGAGGTACTTGGTTTCTGGACTTCTGTTACTGTCCAGTATTCTAGAGACTAGAAAACATGACATTTCAGAAACTGGATCTCTAGAATACTGGTAGATGGGAGAAATCCAAAAACTCAGTAATTTTGTGTGTTATACACCATCATCAGAACCCTTCAGAATCTACCAAAAAACATAATTGTTTTCACCTTTTCCACAACATTTGCGCCCATCTGACAAGCAGCATCAATAGCACCAGCATGTGGCCATTTCCCCTTTCCATCATCTGCAAGGTAAAAAGAATGCATTTACTGCTGTCTTACAAGTTAGTATAAGTCATTCAAAATTCAAAAGAACATGTCATTTATTACATGAACTATTACTGTTTACAGATTCAATACAGCTAATTTATAACACCAAGCTTTATATGCCAACACAAATAAATACAAAGATAAGACTGCACTAACACATGCATACTTTGGGTGGCTGTGATGTTTCTAGCACCTGCCAAAGCAAATCTTTTATTGCCTCTCTTTACTTTAATTTGTAAATGTCAGAAAAAAAACACACACACACAAACAAACACTGAATTATTCCTGCCATTAAATCCATTCTAAAATGGGAAGAATGTGACATCACACATTTTTATACTATTTACTACTGTGGCACTATATAATGATTGCTTGAAGCAACAAGCATTGCCAAGCAATAAAACAGCAGTAAACACTTAGCATTGGCATAGGTAAACCCTCTGAGAAAACAGCGAAGATTGTTGCCTTTTAGATTAAAACACTGTGTAGTTTCACATAGGGTTATTGACATCTGCAGGATTTGCTGCCTCCAGTTTCAGTAAATACTGTTTAGTTTTGCAGATTGTGTCTCAAAAAAATCAGGAAATGCCTATAAAACTACACAATAACCACCTACATCTTCAACAGGGTAGGACCTGAAGACAGAGAAAGCAGGTTTCTCTGAAACACTGATAACCAAATAAGAAACTACATGTTGCCATAACTCAGAAAATCAGAATCTTAATTTTCACCACCATAAAAACCTCAGATATCTTCTATATTGATCTTTATAAGCCTAGTATACCATTGTGAAAGGGTGTGTGTGCATGTGAGGAGACAGTATGATACATTTTACAACCACAGAAAACAGAACACAAAATTAAGTTTATAACCCCCCCCCCCCAAAAAAACCCTGAATTTACTTTGCTTTTTCATTCCATTAAGATATTTACTTGTATCTAGAGATATCTGAATTCTGTTTCCAAATGACTAACTTTTCTAATTCTCTCCATATGTATTTTCACTTAAGAGCTTCAATGAGAATTAAGACACAATTTCTAGTCTATAAACAATTTTCTTCTTTTATGAATGTGCAATTTTCATCACCAATATCCCAATCCTTTGTTATCAACTACAAAACACCATTTAAACTTCATATTTAAGTTCCAAGACTGCCTTTGCGGCCTAGTGGTCACAGTTCCTGAGTTTGATTCCCGGCACTACCACATTTTCTGAGAAGCAGTGGATCTGCAATGGGGTCCACTCAGCCTCGTGAGGATAATTGAGGAGCTACTTGAATGGAAAAGTAGCGGCTCTGGTCTATAAAAGATTAACGGCCATGGGGATCCATTGCACTGAACACGCGACACCCTCTACCTGCTAAAGTTGGCACTAACTTCGCCAACAAGTGGCGGTCGCTAGGTTGGTATAGTTCGCTTGTAGATTACAGGCCATGGAGTTTTTGTTTTATTTAAGTTCTAACATCAGCCAAACCACTTGTTATTGCTGCAGATTTTCTGGATTTTTCTCAGTTCCTCTATGTGAATGCCAAGGTAGTACAGTGAAATAGATGATGACCACTTTTGCCTCCATCCTTCCAAATTTACTATATATAATCATTCTGTCATTCAATGTTGTATAACCACTGCAGCTGATAAAAGCATCTATAATTAATCCACAAACCAACCTGTCCCCAAATTGTTGGATCATCATCATCATCAGTAATCTGTCAGACGACAGGTCCACAGTCTCTTCCAAAACAGTTTCTCCACTTAATGCGATCTTCTGTTTTTGGAAAGAGAGTATCCAGGAAAAGTGATAATGTGGTAGTTTTTCCATTTGCTTTCCACATTGCAGTACAACAGCCGTTCAACTGACTCTGGTCACGCCTGTTGCTATACGAACTTGAACCATCTCGAGCATCATTTGCTCTGTGCTTCAAGTCGCTGCTGATGACGCTGCTTCCGATATCAGTTTTCGGTGTCTCTCTTTGTCTGATGCCTACCCTTTGATCTGTCCAGCAAGGGAGGCCCTGCCCGTAGCTACGCTACCGCTGGTATAGCTCTCAGGGTCCTTGGCATACTCAAACCCCCTCAAAATGTTGGATAATGGCATAAAATTCTGTTTCTTACCTTTCCTCCCCAGTGTTATTGTGACGTTGCCCAACACCTTTGCTGCCAACACAGGTGCAATGCAGCACAGACCAATTGGTTTCTTAGCTTTATGGAAGTCCTTCAGCACTCTCACAACATCTTCATGTACCTTGCAAGATACACCATTCACAGCAAAGTCACTCCTGCCAAAATACAAACATTTATCTTAACATGTTTACCAGTGCATTCCAAGACAAGTATCCTTGTGTTTGGCATAATCTAAACATGAGGGCTCAAGTCTGTGAAATGAACTAACCCTTTTCCGTACAGTTCAGTTTTCTGTTCATTTTTACCTAAGCGTGGAAGGAGCTGCTTGAGGATTATAACAGTATTATGCTGAACACTTTATATTGATACACATCATGTTTCATGGGTTGGCTCTAATTCCATTTCCAGGTGATTTGTACCTATTACACTCACTGATTTTTTAAAATCAGTGAGTGTTCTTTACACACTGTTCATAAAATAAACACACATAAAGGGCATCATTTTTGTCCTTCTATCTGCATATTTAAACTCAAGAACAGCTAGATGGATTTGATTTATATCAGTGATCCTCATAAAAAGTTGCAGGACAATGTTAATTTTCATATAGACTGAAACCATAAGATATAATTTTATCGTAGCTATTCAGAACAGTTATAATTCTGAATGTCAAGATCCAAAGAACAAATGTGGATTTCTGTGTATTTCAGTATGGATTATGCCTTTTCAATCTTTTCATTCTAAGATTACTGTGAAAAACTTGGATCAAACCTGGGACCTTAGAACACCAGGCTAGGATGCTAACCACTAGACCATCAGGCTGGTCTTGGAATGGTTGTTGCTATTAACTCTATGTTACTCATGCTGTTACTTCCTATTTTGTAATAGAGGGGGCCATATGGAGCCAATGTCTTGGCTTCGTTGGCTTATGGGTTTTTTGTTTTTTGGTGATTTATGACTCCTCAATTTCCATGTGATCCTGTTTACTTCTTTGTGGCTGAGGTTTGCATTACCCTACTAAATTCAATGATTCTCATTCTAGGATTGATCACCTATTTTGAACTGTAATGTTTCTCCTACTTTTGTGTTCCACTGATGTTTGGGGATTCAGACATGAAGCACTCTTTCTGCCTCTCTTATACATTTGCTTTCACCCTGACAATTTATTTTATATATACAATTTTTTCATTCCTTTACCTCATTTTTGGTCTGGCCCTTGTTGAGTATGCTGTGTAGCAATGCTTGTGATTTGAATGGTGTTCAGAGCCTCAATTTTCTGATTCTGTCAATTTTTCTAACACACCTAGGATGGCATTATGACAGTTCCTCTGTGGTTTGTCAATTAGTGGGGTTGTACTTTTGGCCTCTGCCGAAGACATCATCAAGAAAAGTGTACAGTGTAAATCAATTAACACTGGTAACTGAACATAAAATTCAATAATACTTACAAATTTTTTGCAGCTCCAAAGCCTCCAGGAAACACTACAGCCTGTGCCACACTTGATGAGAGTTCACTAAGTGGCAGTACCTGACCACGAGCAATCCTCGCAGACTCATCCAGCACGTTTCTCTTATCTTTCTCTTCTGGACTACCCTGACATACAATTAAGCAGAAATGTTAAGAACAGTATGCAAACCAGGAGACCCAAAGCATTGTAAAACTATTCAGTGGCTTCCTGGACAAGTCTGATTCTTGTCTGGTTGACCCAGAATTTTATTTGTATGAAGTTAACAATCTAACTAACTAACTCACTAGCCAACTCAATGAAGCTGGGTTATTCTTAAGAAGCCAATAGTTGTTCAGCCACACAAGAAATTCCAAACATTTTATGGAACCTAGAGGTTCATTATTGTGTTCACAGCAGTCCACCGCTGGTATTTATCCTGAGCCATATAAATCCATTCCACGACCACATCCTATTTCTCTAAACTATATTTTAATATTGTGACATGTTGACCCCTACCTCCCCAGCTGCACGTAGCGGTAACGTAGCGCTCACGTAATAGGCGAGTAATCACCCCGCATCCTGGTAGCTATGCAAAGCGAATCAACAGCAGTGACGTCACCGAGGGATATCGCGGTTGCTAGGCAGCAGTCAACAACTCTGGACAGCGTGGCTAGCAACACGGCACCAGACGACAATTGTCCGATCAAGGCTACATAAGGAGCAGCGAAGGCTATTCACAGCCAGTTAGTCAGTGAGTCCTGGAGCTACCGCCGAGTGAGTCCTCGAGCTACCTCCGAGTTAGTTCCGAGTTAGCCAGCAACCAGCCAGTTGTATTGTGGCATTTGGAGTGTACTATTTGTGATACTGCAGATAGCAGTAATCGTAAATCTGTAATTTGGGTGATTGTAAGTGCGAATGTGAAATAAAATTCGCTATACCAAATATGGCGTGAAGTTATTTGTCGCGATATACGCCCCAGTACGCGACAATATTATCCTCTCATTTATGTCTAGGTCTTCCTAGCGGTCTCTTTCCTGCATGCAGCCAAAGAAGAAGGAAACATCAAAAGACACAGTATACACAAAATATAGGAGGAACGACTCCCATAGTGGTTGGGTGATGTAATGCGTGAGTTTGAAATGAGACGTATAGGATGATAAATCTTAACAAATTTTAATATATATAGATTTTATTATGGTACATGAGGAATATACATTTTAAATCATTTTATAAACGACACATGATGGCGAGCAGTGCAATAGGTTAATGCAGGTGACACACCTGAGGATGGCACAGTGATGCCGAAACATGTAGTGAAGTGGCACGTGAGACTGTGTGCACTAGAAGACGGTCAACACATATATATCATGGATGAGAATCAGTGCAACAGGATGCTAAAATACAACATTGTCACTATCTACAATTATTACAGGACTGCATCATGCTAAAATATGAAGTATACCCACAATTTGAGAGGGAAGTTGTGGACCCAGGACTTCCCAGTCCCTTGTTCATCTCAATGTTTATTTACTGTGCATACAAATCTATTACTGACAACAAAAATATTATACTGTGCACAGGCAGAATTTTTCTTCTTTTATTTGTTAGGTACCAAGAATTTTAGTAATGTATAGTCAATGAATTATAATGTACCTTTCTGTGGTTTATAACATGCATCTGTAGGATATCTGGTGCATAACATTGTGGAACTGCTCCCTCTCTTGTTAAATGCACCAGTATAGAAGATGCCTCATGAATTTCACTGCCATCATACACTCCAGAGCCTGAGAGAACCTGCATGTAAAACAGCAGACTTCAGAATGAACCCCACAAGTCCAGCAACACAAATTAAATGAAATTGAGGGTCAAACAGTACTGTATTTCTGTCCTCTGCACTAAGGCTGTCTGAATTTATTTAGCAATTCAAACCATCAGTATACATATGTTGTAACTAGTGACAGTGTGAATGATACAACAAAATGTATCAAATGCCTTTGTGTATCACTGAAGTCTTGAGCAAGAGATAGAGACACAGTATTATCTGAATTAAAATGCATCAGGATGCTTCAGTACAGATAAATGAAAATTAAGGTACTCAAAAATCACAAATACTCATTTTCCACTTTGTTTCTAATGCAAAATATTCTTAGATATGACCTGGTAGCCAAACAGCAACATGGCACTGTGGGGTAAAGACGAAAAATGTGTTTAAATATAAGACATACAAGCACAAAAGGCTAAGGGCTGCTGTTCTGCCAGCATTCTGTTATGTGAGTTAGAAAGTTGTTATGAAGAGCAGCAGAAGATGGCATACCAAAAGTTATGAACACATTTATTTCATATTAAAGCAAAGATACATGTAGAAAAACAAATGTTGTCTGTTACTAGAGTTGCCCCACCAACATTCCAGAACAATCCAGATATTTCCACTAGCACTACATGGGCATGAATATGTCACTGTGATAGAAGACCATTTCAGTATTTTGCAACTGTGTAAGCACAATATGCCGAACTGCCTTGTTGTTTCCATAGTGCTGGCCCCCCACGTGATGTTTTCAGGGTCCAAACAGGTGGTAGTCCAAAGTGGTAAAGTCTGGGCTGTAGGGAGAATGGGCGAACACATCCCACTGAATTTTTTCAGTTTCTCCCCAGTGTCAGGTGTGAAGCGTGAGGGCATGCATTATCATGTTAAAGAATGATAAAACTTCTCGTCATGCGCTTATCACAGAGTCCATGTCACAGTTTCTGGAGTGTCTGAACATAGCAAATTGCACTGACAGTTGCCTCTCTGGGCAGGAAATCAACCAGTATGTACCCACTGGCATTCCAGAAAATTTTCCCACAATTTTTCCAGATGTTACAGTTCTGACCTCCTNTTTTATTTGTTAGGTACCAAGAATTTTAGTAATGTATAGTCAATGAATTATAATGTACCTTTCTGTGGTTTATAACATGCATCTGTAGGATATCTGGTGCATAACATTGTGGAACTGCTCCCTCTCTTGTTAAATGCACCAGTATAGAAGATGCCTCATGAATTTCACTGCCATCATACACTCCAGAGCCTGAGAGAACCTGCATGTAAAACAGCAGACTTCAGAATGAACCGCACAAGTCCAGCAACACAAATTAAATGAAACTGAGGGTCAAACAGTACTGTATTTCTGTCCTCTGCACTAGGGCTGTCTGAATTTATTTAGCAATTCAAACCATCAGTATACATATGTTGTAACTAGTGACAGTGTGAATGATACAACAAAATGATACAGCCTTTGTGTATCACTGAAGTCTTGAGCAAGAGATAGAGACACAGTATTATCTGAATTAAAATGCATCAGGATGCTTCAGTACAGATAAATGAAAATTAAGGTACTCAAAAATCACAAATACTCATTTTCCACTTTGCTTCTAATGCAAAATATTCTTAGATATGACCTGGTAGCCAAACAGCAACATGGCACTGTGGGGTAAAGACGAAAAATGTGTTTAAATATAAGACATACAAGCACAAAAGGCTAAGGCCTGCTGTTCTGCCAGCATTCTGTTATGTGAGTTAGAAAGTTGTTATGAAGAGCAGCAGAAGATGGCATACCAAAAGTTATGAACACATTTATTTCATATTAAAGCAAAGATACATGTAGAAAAACAAATGTTGTCTGTTACTAGAGTTGCCCCACCAACATTCCAGAACAATCCAGATATTTCCACTAGCACTACATGGGCATGAATATGTCACTGTGATAGAAGACCATTTCAGTATTTTGCAACTGTGTAAGCACAATATGCCGAACTGCCTTGTTGTTTCCATAGTGCTGGCCCCCCACGTGATGTTTTCAGGGTCCAAACAGGTGGTAGTCCAAAGTGGTAAAGTCTGGACTGTAGGGAGAATGGGCGAGCACATCCCAGTCAATTTTTTCAGTTTCTCCCCAGTGTCAGGTGTGAAGCGTGAGGGCATGCATTATCATGTTAAAGAATGATAAATCTTCTCGTCATGCGCTTATCACAGAGTCCATGTCACAGTTTCTGGAGTGTCTGAACATAGCAAATTGCACTGACAGTTGCCTCTCTGGGCAGGAAATCAACCAGTATGTACCCACTGGCATTCCAGAAAATTTTCCCACAATTTTTCCAGATGTTACAGTTCTGACCTCCTCCTCCTCCAGAGACAGAGTGTGATTCCATTCCAGTGTTTTTTTCTTCGGGCTGAAAATTGTAGAACCAGCTTTCTTCACCAGTAATGCAAATTGGCAATGTCCCTACTGCCATAAGTGTTGCTCCCAATACCATACACTGATGGTATCCATGTGGGAATCTCCACAGACATGACAAAGTTCACCAAGGATGTCTGCACAGCAAAAGTGTTCTCCTTTGTGAGAAATTCGATCACAGCATGTTGGTGAAACAATGTATTATTTACAGTCATTTTATCATAGTGGATTTTGGACAAGTAATTTCATATGTTAAGTGACCAGACACAAGGTTTGGATTGGTAAATGGAGTTAATGGACTCTTGAAACTCATAATGATAATTAACTATTAAGAGTGTCACTGATCTACACACGTAATGAATCACTACACCACACATTAAGTCTTCTCAGTCTGCTATGTCTTCATCAGATGCTGCCTGGTAATACTCCCAAAGCCAGAGATTCCTCACCCTCCTTGCTCCATGGCTTCTGCCTTTGCTGAAACATTTCCTCTCAACAGCAGAACCAGTTGATGCACACTGTTATTCTAATCTATCAATGGCAGCATCTTAGCATAAATGCCTTTGTAGAACTCTTCAAGTTACTGGGGTTAGGTATTTTTGATAAAGTTTGTTTTTAATAATTTCCCACTATAACTTCAACAGCCTTTATGTGAGTATAATGTATGTATATCCACAAATGTTATATAAAATGTAAAAATGAACCCATCATTGAAAAATCACTACCTAAAAGTATACAAACACAGCTATAACAATATTCCTCTTTGATAAATACAATCAGGCTGCAGAGGTAGCCTAACAAATTTTCAGCTAAGAAAATTCAGCTTTCAGGGTTTTGTGATTCTGATGTAGCTGACTGAGGCACTACGATACAAGCCAGAAGGTTGCCAGTTCGCGTCCCAGATAAGGTGGATTTTTTCAATTAACCCAATCCTTTTAGCCACACTATAGCCCTGGGGTCGACTCAGCCGCTAATAGAAATGAGTACCTGGAATTTTCCTGGTGGGGTAAAGACTGGCAGATGTGTAGGGCTGACAACCTTACTGCCATCTGTGAGCCAACTGTCTAGAAAATGTGGGAGCCTTGACATCACAACCCTATGTGCTTCCAGAGCCTGTTTCAGGGATAGCTTTACCTTTTACCTTTTTATAGAGCAAGTTCTGGAAGTTGTTTCTACAGGTATTTCTGTTGGGAATGGCAATTATGGGGTCTCCAGGCACTGGATATACAGCAATCTTGTTATAAAAATACTGATTTGGAATTAATCACACACCATTTATTCCTACTTTCAGCCCCAATTACATGGCCTCTTTGAATGAAATAGCACCCCACCCAGAAACCTTAATCCCATGTTGAAAGATCTCCCTTCTACTGCATGCTCATTCTGAAGATAGTGACTGCAATGTATGCCAAAATGTTGATACAGTTTCAACATGTGATGCTGCTGAAGCCCATAAACCCAAGTTACATATCACACAGGGCATGAAAATTAAGGAGAACATTAAATTTCCAGTTAGCTATGGATGTACTGCACAGAAATAATTTTTAAGGTAGTCCATTAATACAGTGCAATAAAAGGCAGTGGCTTTAAAGCTTACTTTTTATAGTCATATAGTAAATCACAAAAACAGTTGAAAACACTTCAGTCTGGCAACATATAATGCAACTAAGAGCTCTAAAATACTTGTAAAATACCAGTCAAAGAATGTGATAAATGTAATACACACCACAGCCACTTTTGGAGCATGCGATGAATATGATGCAGTTTGTACATGGTAGCATTTCACTACAGAAATTGACAAACGACGCAACATTGTTCTATGCACCTGAAACACAGAAAAAACAATTACTTTCCTCTGCCACAGACCATTTGCAAATCTGATATCTTGTATCAGTATGAGCAAACATATTAGAAGTCAGTTTTAAAATAAATGACAACCATGTGGAGAGGCATTCTCATGGTTACCAACACCCCTCCCATCAAGTGACATGAGTTACTTTAACTGGGGTGAAATGTCAGTGGCTGACTTTACTTCCCAGACATCAAATGCTGTCTACTCATAGAAAATTAAAAAAAAAAGTTTGCATTTATTAAAAACATATGACATAATTCTATATAAATACTGGGTAATCACACTCAAATAATATGTTTATGGGTTAATGATCCTCAAAACTGAAGATATAAAACACCCCATTTTCAAACTGCCTTTATTGTCCATACAGCATTTGAACCATATCAGTGCCAGTCTGGGGAACAAAAGTAATGTTGCACTCTCTCAAAAACAGCCCCCTCTTCTTTTTTTTTAGTTTCTTGGAGTCCACTTGGTACATCGGCCACTATTTGGCCAATTGTACCAGCCCTGGATGACAGGTGACAATGAGAGTGCCACAGTCAGTGAAATGACAATTGGCAGAGGAAACCGAAGTACATATATTATGTATTTGTACTTGACTTGTTCCATATCCTATGCTCTCAGCCTATACTTGGATTTATGGAATGTAAATAAATTCACATTCAAACTTGGAGAAAACCTACCCCAGTGCCACTTAGTCCACCACAAATCCCACATGACCTGATCTTGATCTGGGCTCAAACCTGGTCCACTGTGGTGGGAAGCTAGCAACTAACCACCTGAGCTCTGGCTTGGCCCAAACAAAAACCTTGGAACAGACTAAATAGTGCTGTTTGTTTCTACACATTTGCAGCACTTCCTTGAAGTGTGATTGTTACCAGCAATTCAGTGCGAGAATTCAGCTCATCAATAGTATGTTTTGAACAGAACTATATAATCAAAGAACAGGATTAAAAAAAAATAAGATCNAGAAACTCTACGTTTTTTTAAGAACAGACAAGATGATGGATAATGTCCAGCAACATATTAATTGTAAGGATTAAGAAAAAGTTAAATAGTTCTGTCCAGTGTGACTGGTTAAGAGTTTCTTATTTCAATTATTCATGCCCTTACATGTATCGGTCTTCAGAGACCATCTTCAGAGGGACACCTTTACATCAATACTGTTAGAAGCCACTACTACAGTAAATGTTCTAAAAGTTAAAATATATACATACAATATAAATAATATACAATTGGCTGTAAAATCTAAAGTCTTTACAACTACAGCAGCTGTTCCAATACATTAAAATATTTTTAGTTAGTTTGTTAAGATTCTATTGGAATTCATAAACCAAGCTGGTTCATGTCGTCCCTCTTATTATTTAACAATGATTCTTCATTAACATATTCATTCTCATGTAGAGTATACATTTATCAGTACAAATGATTACCCTTATCCCGATTCTGATCCTAAACTTCCATACAAATTCCCTCTCCCAGTACTCACCTTCAGCATTTCTGTACACACTTCTCATTTATGTGAGGTTAAGCTACAGATGGATTTCACTTCATGTTAGGTCTAGTAATTACATGTACAATTCAAACTCAGTGACCTAATAGCAGCATGTGTAAGAAGACTTTGTCAAGTCTACTTTCCTGTTCATGGATTTTTCTTTTTGTGCTTATACATAAATAGGCACACTTCTAAGATGGAGAAGGAACCAATTCATTCTGTGTTAGTGCCTCTACATTTTCTTCAGTCTCATGTCTTCATCATTTGTGTAAACTAGATGTCTTCATTATTTTCTATACTCCTCTCCCTATTAGCTACACCATTCCTTATCAATTCTGGTCTTTATATCACCAGGAATACTGAATGTCTCATAATCTTCCAAAAATTATTTCCAAAATTGTGGTAAAACTGGTAATTCCTTCATAAAAAGATGTTTTTTATTTGTGGTTTGTTCCCTAAGTACTAACACAATTACTATCAAATATATTTTTCAGTAAACAAATTTGCAAATATCAAAATACCAAGGACTTCTTTGGGGGGTACCCTATTCCTAAAAATCTTTCCTCTGCCATTCAAGAAAGCATCAGACATGAATTCTCATCAGTCAAACAAATTCAGTGTGATTGCAGCTACTGCAATTTGACTGAAGGAAAGTACACCTATTAAAAGAATTAAAATTATGAGAAAAAAAATGCTTTTATCAAAGAATTTTCATGCAAGGGCCATACATTCCCAGGAGGTCTGATTATGCATTTTTCTTCAGTTGGCAATGCTGATACACATAAATACTGTGTTTTCCGGAGCTATTGAAACTTTTAAAATTCAACTGCTAGAACTTACATGGATTGTTCAATGTGGTTTAGTAGGAATCTGGTATACCAGAATTTGGCTGCACTCCACCAATACTGACAGTTAGTATATGTGAGCCTCCCTCTTTGATTTATAAGTGAACTAACTAAAAAGAACTCAAGCAATGCATACGGCTATAACTTCCATAAATGTAAATGGAAAAGTTTTCCCAGTGCTTAACTAAGCAGTATGCCATGAAGCCATGTGGGAGTGGAGGTACTCCTCCACACATTAATCTTGGCACAACACACCTTGGCTCCTATATAACCACGGTACCCATTGGGCAGACAGCCGGGCTGGTTCCATAATTAGTGTATATACAGCAGAAAATAACTTCTGTAATATGACAACCTAACCAAATTAATACATGGTGCCAAATCATTCTTAGGAAGTAAAATGATCTCTAAACCATTAAAAAAATTCCCCACTGAAGGTTCATTTCCACATTCACAACAGCCAGATACTCATCCCTATCCTGAGCGAGATGAAATCTGTCCGCTCCCTCCCATCCTTCTTCTTTAAGAACTACTTTAACAATATCCTCTGATCTACAACCAGATCCTCCAAGCCGTCACTTTCCTTATAATTTTTCGGATTCGTTTTATAGTTTCTCATCTCTATAATGCGTGCTACATGTCCCACCCATCTGATTCTCCTTCGCTTTATCATTTTGTTAATAACTGGCGAAGAAACACATTAAGAAGTTCTCAAAGAAAATTTCTCCACTTTCCTGTCACTTCATCCTTCGGTCCAAATATTATACTCAGCATCCTTTTCTCAAATATTCTTAGTCTACAATAGGTAAAATTATAGTTTCACATACGTAAATCCTTGCGTTTTGGATAGCAAATTAATCTGATAAATACTTGATATAATTTGATTGTTATATTTTTCACCTTGATACGTTCTCACTTTATCTTACGCTGCATAACACAATGCAAGCAGACCGCAAAATTATAGAACACAATGAGGATGGTAAAATTTTAAAGTCATTCTCTAACATACCCAACATACGACAGAATTAACCTATCACCTACTTACGGTACAACGAGTACAACTACTTCTGTATTTCGCCGTGTGTTCTCTGTATAACTTGGGCCTTCGTCATTCGGCATATTCGTTCCAGGTCTTTAGCTATAGTTCAGTGGTAACAGTGAACATTAGTGTTCGGAGAAACAATGAACACACTCTCCATCGACAATTTGGCACCACACGATTTAGCCAAACCCTTGTGGGTTAAGACTCGTCGTTCCTATCACCGCTCTTAGATGTCACTATGTGTAATGTGTAACAGATTACATAGTAATCTGTGTTCACGATCATGTGATTGTTGGTGGTTGCTAGGTTGTAAGTCTACTTCAGCGTAGAAGGTTAAGAAGGTTAAGAAGTAGGATAATAATGGGGTTTGCACTTGCTCCGGTTATAGTCTTTACTGCCTTGTGGGTAGTTGTTGGTATAGTGCTACCATTTGTCGTACCGAAAGGACCAAATAGAGGGTGTGTGTATAAAAGTTGTGTGCTATTGTTGAAATGTGATTCTTGTCCCCAGGGGTGTATATTCTAAGTCAGGAAATAAATTATAAAGGTGTATTATTTATATATACATATAAAACCAGATTTTGTGCTCTTGCACTCAGTAGAACAGAGATGTGACTTATGTAATAAGGCAGTATTAAGTCACAACTGTTTCACTGCGCTATAACCAAACCTGATATGCTTGCGGTCAAAATAAGTATTTTGACATCAGCTTCAGTAAATAATAGTAAATAAGCATTTGACCCTGACTTGAGGCCTGGCAGATAACAAAAATTTGTGTTGCAGTCGTTTGAATAAGTAAAGTTTGACCCTCACTTCATCTATCAATAATCTGAAGTGTGCTCTCATTATGTTCATCTTTTTACGATTTGGGGGTCTGAGGCCTCCTTGCGCCCCAGGACTTTCGGTCTGAATCATCTTTCATCCAATAACCATTTCTGAGTTATTGGTATATGCTGTGTTTACATTCAGTATACTTTTGAGGAATTCTTGTGCATCAAAATGAATCTGTTTTGTTTCCTTTTTCACAGGATCCTACAAGTGGTTTTAATGCTAACAGCAGCAACATGTTGGTTATTGTAAGTAATTTTCTACAAAGATTGTGGGACATTCATAGACATTTAGGTTATCTTCATAGTATTTTGTTGTTCTCCATTAGAAATGGGTTTGCCCATTAGATCTGGGAAATGATTCCCATATTTCGTTTACTGATCTAGGAAACAGTCCCATAGAAGTAGCAAACTGCAAAGAGTCAATGTATATGCATATATTTCATATCAAATCATCACAAAACAATTTTGTTTCATTACAGTTGAAACATTGTTAGAATTTCTGTAATTCAGTAAAGAATGAACACGCAGAAACAGTGAGGAGTAAATCTCATTTCTGATGTTTATATCTTCAGAATTCATTAAAATTGCCAGGACTGGGTAAACTGATGAGATTCAATGAAAACACTCTAAAACAATTAAACAGTTTAATTGGCCTACTTTCCTTGTTTTCAAAACAAAAAGGAGGCTTATTTATTTATTTCATCTCTATAGATCATTGTTACATGATATAGGACAAGTCAGTTACTGACTTGCCTTGCCATGTGTGTATCTCCCAGTGTTGGTAGGCAATGGCTTGGTAAAAACATTGTTGGGCCATTGGTAGAAAAACATGTTCCTGTGGCAATGAATAGAAGAACTGTTTCACGTGGTGTTTCCCATGTGATCTGTGTCATATCAAATACTGAATATGTAGCGAATGGATATTAAGCAATTAGTTCTTCCCAGAACTTCTTGTTTAAGTTTACAATTTACTTATATGTAAGCTGTATAGAGGCAGGGTATTTGTATATTACAGAGCATGCAATAGAATGAGTAATAAAAACACTGAAGTGGTTACCTGGTATATCTTCATGATGTGATCGGTTACATGTGTCTCTTTCACCAACATATGTTTTGGTGTAGTTATTCTGAGTACTTGCAGATACCTGTCTAAAACTGAACCATCACAACATTTATAAGTTCTTATAACTAAGTAACTTCACAGCTGAATCCTTCTTCAGCAGCCGCAAGTTCTTATACACTGCTGTAATTTTTTCTCCTCAAACATAGTCTAGCAGTGCCACAACTTTAGGAAGCATGGCTGGATCTCTCTCTCTCTTTTTTTTTTTTGGTTCACAGTTCCCTTGAAAAGTTTTCACTGATGTCCTCATTGTTATGTTGGAAGTATGATATGAGTATTGCTGCATAGAATGAGGAGATTGGGGGAGGTGGGCTTAGGACAGTAGAAGTAGTGTGACATTTCTAAAATATTTTTCCAAATGCTTCTTTTTCATTTGCACATATTTCTATGTTTCTGAAGCAAATCAGATTTGGAGGCATGTTAGGTTAGATTACAAACAAACAAATTCCGTGGCTTTAGTCTGGAAGCGAACTATACTGACTGAGCAGCCACTGCTTGTCAGCAAAGTTAGTGCCAACTTTAGTAGATAGAGGGTGTCACATGGTCAGCGCAACGAATCACCACAGCCGTTAATTTCCGTTTTCTATACCAGAGCTGCTACTTTTCCTTTCAAGTAGCTCAATTTTCCTCGCAAGGCAGAGTGGTGGTTCAGTTATTGTAGATTAACTTTAAGCAGTTTACATTATACAGTAGGAATCTGTAAGAAACATAGATTTTATGGTGAGTTTGGCAGTTGGTCAAATCATGTATGCTAAAGAGACTCAAGTACATGGAAGGTGTATGATAATGTTGTTCTAGTAAAGTGGTTCTGTTGCTTTATTTTGCAGTTGGTTGTGTTGCTACTTGTCACAGATGAACCCTTTGATAGGACCAAAGCTGTCGAATAAGACAATATTGTTAATGGCAAGAGAGTGGGTAAGTTAAATTCAGAGCACAAGCAGTACTAAAGATAAGTTCTCTCCATTCCATAGTTAGAAACAAGTGGGAGAGTTTGCATGACATTTAGAGCTGTAAAGTGTCAAATGCAGAAGAGTTGCTCAAGTGCAGAAGGTAAATTCGAGAAGTATGTTTTACAATTGCATATGCTCTGTCTAGTCTCTCTTTTAATCAATACTGACTTTCTCTTAAAATGTTTTTTTCACAGTGATTAAAGAGTGAGACAGACAAAGCCATGTTATGCCATAAATATACAAAGTAAGGAGATGGAAAGGAAATGGCAGAGATGAGGGAACAGTCAAAGTAATCCTATCATACAAATACTGTACAATATTTTAAATTAGAAGTGCTATGGTACAAGCCACGAGGATGTGGGTTCAAGTCTCGATGAGATAGATTCCCCCCCCCAATTTACCTAATCCTTCCAGTCTCACTATGGCCCTGGGGTTGACTCAGTCTCTAACAGAAATGAGTACCAGTAATCTTCCTGGAGGAGTAGGGGTGGCCGGCACATAAGACTGACAACCTTACCACCATCTGTAAACCGATTGTCTAGAAAATGTTGGAGCCTCAATGTCTCACAACCCTATGGGCCGTCATGTCCTGTTACAGAGACAGCTTTACCTTTTACTAGTATACAAGGTATTTTGTTAGGAGGTTTCAATGCCAAGGTAGGCAGGGAAGACATTTTCAAACCAACGATGGGGAATGAGAGTTTGAATGAAATTAGTAATGATAATGGAGTTAGAGTAGTAAACTTTGTTACATCAAAAGTACTCTCACATATAGTTGGTATGTGTGACAAAAATGATGGGTTTTAATTCAGATGATTGCATTTGTTAACACTTTGCTTACGACCTCTCTATAATTACAGCGCTATCACTGAGTTACACAGGCCAGAATCTACTGTGACACACACACACACACACACACGCATGCATGCATGCTTCGGAAACTGTTAGAGAAGATATGAAAATTTCTGCCAAAGAGAGTCCAGGTTATTATGAACTGAAGAAGCATCAGCCATGGTTCAATGAAGGATACTCAGAATTATTAGACCAAAGAAAACAAGCCAAACTGCAATGGTTACAGGATCCAAGCAAAATAAATGGGGATAATCTGAACAATATAAGATGTGAAAGCAGCAGGCATTTCATGAATAAGAAGAGGGAATATCTGAAAGACAAAATTGGTGAGCTTGCAATGAACAGTAAGAACAAAAGCACAATAGATCTTTGAAGGTCCCAGTGCGAGGGCCGGTTTTTATGGCTCACCCCTCATACTCAGCAGTAAGAACAAGAACATTAGAGACCTGTATAGAGGAATAAATTACTTTTAAGAGGGGTTACCAACCTAGAAGTAACTTAGTGAAGGATGAGAATGGTAATCTGCTTGCAGATTCCCACAAAATTTGAATAGGTGGAAGAACTAATACTCTCAGTTACTGAATGTACATAGGGTCAGTGATGTAAGGTTGATATAAATACATACAGCTGGGCCATTAGTACCTGATCTAGCCCTTTTGAGGTTGAAATTGCTATTTCAAAATTGAAAAAGTATGAATTGCCTGGTAGTGATCAAATTCTGTCAGAACTTATTCAAGCAGGAGGCGAAATATTATGTTGTAAGAGCCATAAGCTAATTAATTCTGTTTGGAATAAGGAAGAATTGCCTGATCAGAGGAAGAAGTCTATTATTGTACTAGTTCACAAGCAGGGTGATAAAACTGACTGTAGTAATTATCGGGGGATATCACTGCTATCAACTTCATACAAAATTTTATCCAGTATCCTTTTCTCAAGGTTAAGTCCATAAATGGATGAAATTATTTGGGATCAGCAGTGTGGGTTTTGACATAACAGATCAACTACAAATCAGATCTTTAGCATTTGTCAGATACTGGAGAAAAAAATTGGAGTACAGTGAGACAGTACATCAGCTATTTGTAGACTTCAAGAAAGCCTATGATTCAGTTATGAGGGAAGTATTGTACAGTATTCTGATAGAGTTTGGGATACCCATGAAACTAGTAATGCTGATTAAAATGTGTTTAAATGAATCATATAGTAAAGTCCATATAGGTAACCATTTGTCTGATAATTTTCCTATCCAGAATGGTCTAAAACAAGGAGATACTTTCTGCCACTGCTTTTCAACTTTGCTTTAGAATATGCCATTAGGAACGTCCAGGAAAACCAGGTGGGACTGAAATTAAACGGGAAACGTCAGCTGTTGGCCTATGCCAGTGATGTGAATTTACTGGGTGATAATGTAGATACCATAATGGAAAACACACAGACTTTTAATTGACGCAAGTAAGAAGGTTCATCTAGAGTTAAACACAGAGAAAACTAAGTATATGTTGCTGTCTCATCACCAAAATGCAAGGCAAAATCATGACATGAAGATAGGTAACAGATGTTTTGAAAATGTGGCACAGTTCAGATATTTGGGAACAACGATAACAAATGAAAACCTGATTCAGGAGGAAATTAAGATGAGCTTGAACATGGTTAATGCCTGCTACCATTCAGTCAAGAATCTTTTGTCTTCTCGTCTGCTGTCCAAAACATAAGAATTAGAATATACAAAACTATAACTTTCCCTGTGGTTCTGTATGGGCATGAAACTTGGTCTCTGACATTAAGGGAGGAACATAGACTGAGGGTGTTTGAGAACAGGGTGTAGAGAATATTTGGACTGAGGAGAGATGAAGTGATGGGAGGTTGGAGAAAACTGCATAACGAGGAGATTCGTAACTTGTACTGTTCTCCAAGTATAATTAGAATGATCAAGTCAAGGAGGATGAGATTGGCAGGGCATGCATAATGAATGGGTAAGAACAGGAATGCATATAGGATATTGGTGGGAAAGCCAGAGGGAAAGAGACCACTTGGAAGACCAAGGCATAGGTGGGTGGACAATATTAAAATGGATCTTAGAGAGATAGAATGGGATGGTATAGATTGGATTGATCTGGCTCAGTGTAGGGACCAGTGGAGGGCTCTTGTGAACACAGTAATGAACCTTTGGGTTCCATAAAATGCTGGGAAGTTCTTGAGTAGCTGCACACTTGGCAGCTTCTCAAGAAGGGCTTAGCTCCATGAGTGAGTGATACTAGGTAAGGAGATAGGAAGGAAATGGAAAGAGATGAAGGTACAGTCAGAGTAATCCTATCATACAAATACCGTAAAGTATTTTAAATGTTACTTTTAATATTTATACTGCTTTTTGTTAATAGTCACAAGTGCAGTGAACTTTTAAGGAATACAAATTTTTCCCCTGTTACACCCCAGTAAATGCTCTTGTTACTGGGCTGTAAAGTGTTGATTCTTAAGAAAAGAAAACTTGGGCCTTCACTGAATCCTGCCACATGCCATCGTGATTTTCATTGTAAACCATATAGAAAGGTTATGGAAATCAAGACATAGTGAAGTGAAGATTACTCTGAAGATAACAGACCCATTACATTTTGTATGATAAAAAAAGGAAAGAAAAAAGTGCTGTATTACATAATGGCTTATTGAAAATACAGATTACAATTATTTGTGAGAGTTGATCAACTGAAACCTTTCACATATTCAGCCATGACAGGTTAAGTATGAGCAAAGGTGTCAAGGCTGCAGTAAAGCAGTGGTTCGAGCAGTGTCCCAGTGAGTTTCTTGTGGAAGGGATCCATTGGTTGGTGTGACAGTGGGATTCCTACCTCAGCACCCATTGAGACTATAATCAGTGATCACCTTCACCCAGAAGTCCCTGAAAGGGTTTCATCTGAATAACCCTCAGATTTGAATGTATTAAATGCTGTGTGTTACATGAGATTTTATGCTATGTTTCTTATATTTTTATTATGAACAGCTGATATATTTTCAGAAGTAATAGTGGAAGCCACCCATTCCTCAGGTCCCATACTCCAATCGTAGGGGATATTTATAAACTTCAGGGTCATTACAGAATTTGTTAACTGTCTGAGGAAATTCAAGTTCTTGGGTTATTGTGTTGTAATAATGTTATTAACTTTCCTTCTTTTTTACCCCACAGGGAAATCCAATCCAAACCCCAAACTGATAATGAATGCTGAGGTATGCAGTGCAGAAAAGCAGGCATCATTCCACACTCCGTGTGTATGTTAGATATGTACATGTATTTGTGAATAAAAGTCATCTTGTATTATGCATTGTAAACAGTCAAATATATGTATCCATAGTAAGATTATTTTCTATATTAATTTTGTTATACTCCTGTTGTACATCTATTTGTGAAAAAGAATTCATCCTTTGTATTATTGTCACAAACCAACAGACAAACTGTATCCATAGTAAGATTTTTTTTTGTATTAACTTTGAAGTACTTCCATGTAAATTTTGTGTAACAAAGAAAACCTTCAATCTTTTCAGGTCCTCTGTCAGACCCATTCCAACATTCCAAAAGTTATATTTCCATCTGAATTTGCCAATTTAAAAAAATTCAGGCAAAATAAACTGAAGTTGGATGTTGTAATGTGTCATACATTAAGGGAGGGGATTCTAAATCAAACTATCAAATATTCTGAAAATAGCTTTGTAGACCAAGGTTAAATGAAGTTTGATGTCACAGAAATAACACAATTAAGTTGAACTTGTTAAGATGTTATATGGGGAAGTAATTGGACCTCAAGGGATTGATTAATTAGTAAAATCGGCGTGACTGTTTTAATCAAAGTAGGTAACTCAGAGTTCATGTACTGTTTAATTTGTATTACAAACACATGCAAATAGTGTATAATATGTGCAGTACATTTACTTCCAAAAGAATGGATAGGTTGTATTACCAGTATTTATAGTTTTAAATATGGTGATTATGTTGATTAATTAAGAAATATGGTATTAAAATAAAAGTATAGTAATATTCCTTTAATCTTAATTATGGAACCTATGCAGTGGCTGGCAATGCATCGACATATCATCATCATCAGTAATCTGTCAGACAACAGGTCCACAGTCTCTTCCAAAACAATTCCTCCACTGAATGCGATCTAGAGCTTTCTCCTTCAAATGACAGTATCCTCGTCTGTTCCCAAGGTCATCCAGCATCTTCTTACGTCTTCTTGTCACTTCTATCCGCCCCTCTGTCTTTCCTTCAATAACTTCTTTTAGAACGCAGTTTCTGTGTAAAACATGACCAATCCGATTAGCCTTCCGTTTTCTTATTTCGTGTAGGATATTATTCTG